CTATTACGTCTTTAGATTAAAAAGAAACCAGGCCAAGGTTTCTTTTTTTCGTTTGCGTGGAGTGCATAAATCAAGGAAGAAAAAATAACATTAGATCCTAGTTTGCGAAACAAAAAAAGAACGAATGTTTATCTTGCACAGTAACAAATAAACTTTCAAAATCTAAAGATAAATATGAATTGATAGAGACAAATTTTAATATCAGTGTATGTTTCTTTCTGTAATGTTAAGTGATTTCGCTCAAATCAAGATAATAATCTTAATAACTAATAGAGTTTTCTTTTATCAAGGACGATGATAACTTTTAGAAGTCAGATACTATCTTTTAACAATGCCAGTTTCAAGAATAAAAAAACTACTGTATCTAGTTCTTTTTTAGAACCTTTACTATCATAGTTCATCTATAAAATCTTAATAATAAAAACAAAAAACTCCATTAGCTAATAAAGTTACTATTTGGATCTAAACTAAACATTTAACATAGTAGAAAAATATGTTGTAATTAAAAATAATACCATTTCTACCTTCTACTTTTTCATTATGAAGATATTTTATTCAAGCATCATGTTCAAAAAGTAATTTCATGTATGAGTATAATTATTATTCTATTTTGGCTTTAATCATAAGTTCATGTAATTGAAATGCAATGAAAATTTCAAAAAAAAAAATTAAATTTCATTGTACATTGAAGTTTTTTCTCTTGATAGAAATTAAAGTTAGTTCCAGCTTAGTTCTTTTTTGAGGCAAATATTACTTTATCAAAAATGAGTCAATAACACATAAGATTTTGTTTGTTTTGTACAATATACCATTTATTTCTCTTGAAATTAAACTAAAGTTGAGTCCAATCAATATTTGATTTTATCTCCTTTCAAGTTATTTAACTAAACTACATAAGTCTACTGTAATAGTAGAATACTTAGAACTAGGAGAGTAATCAAACGTTAACTAATTCAGTTTATGATATAAAAACTGGTCATTACAGTTAATTCTTATGAAAAGAATTCGGACTGATGATAAGCCTAATGATGCTCGTCAACAAAAGTAAGTCGAGTATTGCATGCCACAAAAGTATTTCTGTTTTCACATTGGTACAATGTGAAAGCTTTACCAGTTGTCGTCAGTTGTACAGCATTCACTAAGATTTGTATCTAAAAAGAGTGTGTTCAAAACGAAATTTATTTTTCGACATAAAACTAACAGCAATTTGATAAATGAAATCCATAACTTGATGAATATTACTAACACAATTTTGTATTCTTATTGAAGAAAATGAAACTAATATAAAGATTTTAGTTTTGCTTAGTCATCAAAATAATGGGATGTAAATGATGCAAAATCAATAAAACTAATGAAATGATTTCATTTTTTCAAAAGTATGAAAATTATGTAATGAAAATGGTGTAGAAAAAAACGAAACTAAGATAGTGATTTTAAGTTTTTAGAAATAACTAACATCACATAATACAAAATGATATCAAATTACTGAAACGAATGTATTTAGTTCAATTTTTCTTGAAATAACTGGATTCATGAAATAAGAATGATGTCAACATCATGAAAGTAATGGAATGATCTTGATGTTTTTGACATAATTAAAACCATGAATTTTCTGTATGAAAATTTAAAAAATATCATTTAAATGAAACGTTTTTTTTTTGTATTTTTAGGATTATTAGAAGGTTTTGATGAACAATTATTATTATTATAAGTTTTTCTTTTTTTTTCATTCTCTACTCAATAATATGATAATTACGTCTATCGATTATTTTATATAACATCATAAAGGTATGATTCGTACTTTTGTGACACTGGCTGAAATAATCGATAAACATATTGATCATATCATTGAGTAGAGGATGAAAAACAAGGTCAATCTACAGTATTTATTTTTCTTATGAAGGATTTTGCAAAAGAAAAATCTATGATTACCGTAGGTCTCATCAAAAAACATTCAAAAGTAATAGATCCTCTAAGATTATCTAGTCTTCGAAAATTTGTTTTTTTTTTTTCGAATTCATGAAAAAAAATATACATTAATACACAAAAACGTGTCGAATGTTTGTTACATCTTTCTAATTTTTAGTTTCTTTATATTGAGTATTGTCATTGTATAAAACTAATGCTCTGATAAATGTTATTAAATTGGCTTATTACTTGTTATTTTGATAGATAATGTAATTATATATTATATAATAAATGCGGGAATAATCAATGTTATGGTTTGGCAATTTATTTATTTTACTTCAAAGTAAGAAGTTTTTCATATTTGAATGTATTTTATTAATTATTGAACAAGCACCATATTTTAGTTCTACGTGAATGGCGGCATTTTTCTATTATGAATTCAAACATTTTTATTGAGCATTTTAATTCAAAATTTTTCCCTATTAAATATAGTAGTTATATAAAATAAGAATTATTGGATGAATATTATTTTTTTATTTTGCTATCATTAGAAAAGAAACTATCAGAAGCAAATTCTAAAATGATGTTTATTTCACTATTTCTATAAATTCGAAAGAAATTTGATTCAAAAGAAGTGAGGAAGAAATGTAAGTTTAAAATTTTTACCATCTTGCAGTCAAATCTCATGATGCGATATTGTGTTTTCATTATTTACGTTTGAATACATCTCTACAACTACATTTTAAAACGCTATTGTTCTATATTTTTCAATGTCTTGTAAAATGAAACTTATGATGTTCTTTTTCAAATTAGCAAAATGCAATAAATCTTTTGGAAGTGATTCATTATAATGACATATATTTTTTTTCACATACAGAATCCTTTAATATTTTTCTTTTCTGATCACTGATGAAAGAAATACAAAGTGCAATTTTCTTCGAACTTTCATGAAAGTAACTCATGATATCTCAATTTTTAATATTGCTTAAAGATGATCGTCGATGAAATTTGTACAAAATCATGCCACTAAATTGATGAATCATTTAATCTAGGCGATGAAATCGATTTAAACGCAATTATACTGTTCATTCATCAGATTTGATGAAAATTAATTATACGCTTCCAAACTAAAACAAATCGATACTATTTAAAAAAAAAACTACGAATAATTGATTTGGTTGAAAAATGAATAAGAAATTCATAACTACATCTACATCCTAAAAAATTGTAGATCACTGATTTTTTTAATTGTTCTTTGCTATTGACTTCTCCGAAATATTTTAGCTGAGAAAAATGACCCATGACTAAAAAACTCCTAACTATGCTACTGCTCGTTTACGTTCTGCATATATCAAATACACATATACTTATTTATAATAATATTTAGTTTATTGATAGCTTCTTCCGTCTTTTTCTTTGTGTGAAATTATTTTATTCAATATGCGTTGAACTTCTTATTTGAAAAAAATTTCGTTCTATTCTCATCAATTATTTTCGTAATAATTGACTCTCTCTTGACCATTTTTTGCTTTTCAGTTCACTGCTTAATCGGTTGTTTTTGCATAACTTAATTGTTAACACATGTTTTTTTTTTTTTATTTTCAGTGTTTATGATTAGATCTACTCAACAATAAGAGCGACAAGCCTGCATGCAACTATCAACATTTTTATTCGTTCTGGATGAATGCTCGCAAAGAAAAAAAACATTATAATCAACAATCATATTCATTTCGATAGCAAAGGTAATAACAATACAAGAAAACGAAGAAAGAAAAACGCTACTCAATGATAAAAAAAAGTCTCATATGCTGCTGCTGATGACCATCATCAACATCATTCATCTCGTCTTTAATGGACAGAATCGTCTTGGACTCGATTTTTACATCTACTATGTTGATAATGGATGAAACCAACGCTTTATGTTGGATATAAACGACAATTGACAGTAGATGATCTTGATGATATACCTCATGTTGATAAAGAATTGATATTATTCGATAGATTATCTTCTTATGACTGGTCATCAACAACAACATTGAATATTGTTTGGAAAGAGTTTGGAAAAGATTACATATTTGCTAGTCTATTCTTGATTCCCTATTTTATAACATGTATCGCTCAACCATTACTTTTTCGTCAAACGCTTTTGAATGTGATGAATGAATATCGATCACATACTATTAGCTATGTATATGCCATATTACTGTTTGTTTCGATCATTTTACAAGCACTCACACATCGACAAAATATTTTTCGTGCGGCTCGTGTTGGTATACGAATTTTGAATGCACCTACTATGATCATTTACACACATGCATTGTCTCTAAAGTTGGCATCATTAGCAGAAATGGATCCAGATCAAGTTATGAACTTGTTCACTAACGATGTGTCCACATATAAAGAAGTGTGTTCAAATTTTAAGCTATCTTGTTGAAGGAGTTCTCGAGACTATCATCATATTTGGCTTACTTTGTTGGATCATGCAAACAATACCAGCATTATGTGGTTTCGCTTTATTGTCTATATTTATTCTTATCGAGTTTTATTTTAGTCAAAAATATGATCAATATTGTGAAACAAGAGTCATGCGTAGCATTAAACATATACAGGCTTTTAGTGAGTTCATTCATGGATATCATATCGTTAAAATGTATAACTAAAAAAAACCATTGGGAGATCGTACAGTTGAAATGCGAAAACATGAATTAGCGACTATTCGACGTGCGTCGCACTTTCGTGCAGTCAGTATGACTCTAGTTATTGTCACAGCATCACTTTTTGCACTCGCTACGTTGGGCAATGCGTGCCTTTTAGGCTATACATTGAATATAGCTAATATTTTCCCAACTCTGTCATTATTTTCCTTAATGCGCATCAATTTTATGTATTATCTGTCACTGGCACTAGTAAAGATAGATGTAGTCAAATCTGCATCAAGAAGAATCGATTTATTTATGCGTTTCGCTATGAAACAAGACAACCAATCTTTATTATCTACGTCTTTTATCAATGAATAACAAAAAGGAAACATGATTTCTAATGCATCTTTTCGTGGCATAACGAGATGCCTTGTCTATCATTGTGTTGGAGAAATGAATCTTACTGAGGGTCATCTAAATACAAATCATAGTTCATTCTCTTTTGCTGTTCAATCACCATGGATATTTGAAGATACATTTCGTAACAATATTCTTGTAAATTGGTCATTTGATTAACAACAATATAAAAATGTAATACATGCTTGTTGTCTCGATGATAATATTAGTGGATTTGAATCTATTGGTGATTTTATAATGATTGGAGAAAATGAAATTATTTTAAGTAGTGGACAAAAAGCAAGAGTATCCTTTGCTTGTGCCTTGTATGGTAATGTAGCCATTTATCTACTTGATGATCCATTATCTGTTGTTGATCATAGAGTAGCTCAACAAATCTATGAACGATGCATTGGTCCATGTGGATTGTTAAAAAATAAAACTCGTCTATTAACTACTCATCAAGCTCAGTTTCTTAGTGAATCAAATCAAATAATATTTCTTTCTCATGGTTATATTGATAAGCAAAGCTGTTTGAATGAAAATAACATTAGAGAAAATTATGCAAACAATCATGAAAAATCAAAATTAGCTACTCTGTTTGATGATGATGATAAATCGATGAATGACAATCAATCCATCATAGTGGATGAAAAACTACTAAATGATGATACCAGAGGGTCTATTTGGTAGAATTGGCTTCTCTTTACTTATTGTTGTACTTTTGTTGAGTCAAGGATTAAATGATGCTGTTAACTATTGGCTGAGCATATGTTTAAAACAATATGGCGTAGATCAGCCAATTTCAACGAAATCTGTTTATATTTATTTCGGTTTGCTAACTGCTTTAGTCATTGCAGATTTAGTTCGTACAAACTATTATTTTCCTGTTGTTTTAAATGGTTCAAGTAAATTACATAATAAAATGTTAAAAGGACTTTTATATACATCAATACAGTTTTTTGAAAGCAATCCAACTGGAAAAATTCTGAATCGAGCAAGCAAAGATCAGTATGTTATCGACAAGTTACTTCCAATAACGTTGCTTGAAGGATTCGAGGGATTTTTACTGGTAGCAGGTTCATTATTCATGATTAGTTTTATTAATCCATATGTTTTTCTTGTACTTATCTTATTAACACCAGTGGTTTGGTTGACAATTACTTTTTTCCTAAGATGTTCACGTCGATTTAAACGACTTGAAAGTATCACTCGTAGTCCTGTCTATGCACTCTTTTCATCATCGTTGAATGGTCTACCAACAATTCGTTCATTACAAGTTTTTAGTAATAATGAGTGTTGTTTGTTCGTTTATAATATTAACCACTTCTATTCAACTAGTAAATGTTCGCGATCATACAAAATCGCCAGCTGCTGCACTCAGTTTAACATATACACTTTATATAGCATTATTGTTCAATTGGGCCGTTCGACAATTGTCCGAAGTTAATATAATGATGATAAGTGGCGAACGTATCGATGAGTATTCACATTTGCCATGTGAAGAGAATGAAGGTGGTCATAAAGCTCGTGTACAAACTTCACCAAAATGGCCAACTCATGGAAAAATTGAATTTAGAAATTATTCATTACGTCATCGACTGAACTTACCCTATGCTATTAGAAATATTAACTTGGACATAGAGTCTGGACAGAAGATTGGAATTATTGGTCGGACTGATTTGTATGAATACTGAAATGATAGATTTTTCTCTAATCTTTCATATGTATACGTGCTGGAAAATCCTCACTCTTCAAAGGCATTCTTCGCTTTGTTAATCAATCATGTGTTGATGGTCAAATTTTCATTGATAGTGTTGACATAAGCCGCATCACACTTAATTATATTTGATCTTATTTGAGTGTTATTCCTCAACAACTTATTTTATTTAGTGGAACCCTTCGATATAATCTTGATCCATTGAATAATTATTCTGATGAAGAATGTTGGATAGCACTTGAAGATGTTCAACGTAAACCATATGTGAGCAATCATGCATTAGGTCTTCTAATGCCTATTGGTGAATCGGGTAAAACGTTGAGTACTGGTCCATGTCAATTTCTATTGAATATTGTATTTTGTTGAACATTTGTTCCTCTTACAAATTTTGTGCTTTGGAAAACATTGATATGCTTCTTTTAATATTAGACTATGAAAATGAATCAATCTTTCAGAATTAAGATAACATAAACTTGTTACTTTCATTCAAATATACTTTTTTCTATATGATATGCTGTTTAGTGGGTGTGAGTGAAGAGAAGAAAACTTGCATAGACAACATACATATATTCTTAAATCAACATTTCATTAGTTTGATCTTGAAATATTATTTTTCGATTGGAACGAACATTTGCTGAATTGCAATTTTTAAGATTATCACAACAAAAAACTTCAATTTTCAATGCATGTGTCAAAAAAACAAAATTCTATTTTATATTTATTTTTATTCATATATATATATATATAGGCAAGCGATGTTTTCATTGTTCTCGAGTTCATTAATATCAAGCATTGATGAGTAACTTTATATTATGAAATTTACTTTCTAATGTACTTTTTACATTAAAAAATAATACATGGTCTTTAAATATATATGAATTGATCATATTCATCTACTTGTAATAGAGAGAAAATACAAATGTTAAATTTACAAATATTATATGGATCCATGGACTATTCACATGTTAACTGCTTTTAACTTTTGGAATTCAAACAAAGGGTATCGATGTGGATAAAAAGAAGCGTAACAGTCACACTCACCCCTTTTCTAGAATTGAATAATAAAGGGGTTATGTTTCTCCTCTTCATCGCCGCATACCTGAATACAGTGCCAGATGCCTGGAAATTCACTGGCTGAGAAAAGGTTTACCATTTAAATGATCTTCTCTTTGCAATAACTTTGTGAATTAAAGGATCGTGTTGAAAACGTTTCTGTCGTCATGATAAACTGAAAATTATTTGTGAAGTTTCAACGGAAGAGACGCAGATATATTGGCTTACAATTTTGATTATAATTGACATTTTTTTTGTTGGCTCAACTCAAAATGCAAAATGAATAATTTTCATCGAAAATATCAAAAAATTATATACGTCTAAAAAAATATAATCAACATGAAAAATGAATCTGTATATCTGGATTACAGTCAGATATAATATTATTATAGATTAACGTTTATGTTTAGTTGATTATGTTAAATTATTATGGTTTGATGTATTTATTATTATACAATATAAGTTCATCGTTTACCATCAGTTAGTAGTTTTATTTTTTGCTTGAAAATGACTGATTAAGGTCGACAAATTTCCTTTGTACTTTTTTTTATTATGAAGTCTATAAAATGAAATAAATAAATAAAAACAAAATATTATCTATTGTTAATGGATAGTTGACTTTATATCAAGATACAGAAATTCATTTTCATGTTGAGCATCTAGCTTGCTTTATACAATCAACAAAAGAAAAACTCATTTACTCATTCATCAGACAACTCATACTTCACAAAATATTCTGAGAAAAAAGTCAGCTATATTTGAAAAAAACGTATGATCATGTTATGTTTCAACAGTCCAAAAAGAAATTTCATTTCTTATTATGATGAACAAACATAAACCCAAATTCGTCATCACTCTATATGAATATCAAGAAAAGAAATCATCAAAAGATTTTTCAATATAAAAGAAAACATTGCCAACATGCTTTCTATGATTTTGTTGTTGAGCATCCACGAAAGAGGAAAGCAGATATAAAATGATTTGTTATAAAAACGACCAATAAAACAAACTTGGAATTTCCTTTTTTCTTTCGTAAAAAAGAAAAATGTGACATTTTTTCTCACTAAATATCATATATCCTTTGTTTTCATTTTGAATACTCAACGATTGTCATTTACCATGAGCGATATATCCACAGAGCCTGATGAAATTCTACAGGGAGACAGTTTTGATGATATTACATGGTCATCTCTGCTTCTATCATCAAAACGAAATCAAATTTTAAAGACATTAAGAGAATCATCGCATTATGATCAAAGTAAGCCAGTTATTAAATGGAACTCTTTTTATTAGATTAATCTTCTTTTTTGTAATGATTTTAGATACATGTAATGAATTGTTAAATGATACGCTTAAATTCAAAGAAGAAAATCCATTGGGTAAAATATAATTTTTGTTGTGTTTCTAAGTTGTTCATTTTCATATAGCAAAGATAATGGAATGAGAAATAGAAAATTTATCAAAATTATATGTTTCACAGATGTATAAGATTGATTTCAGTAATTGAAATTAAAATAAAGTGACATTTTCTTTTCCCAAATGAGAATAATTATATCACATTGATTTAATTCCTTTTTAGTTAAATTCAATTTTTATATTTTATTTGAGCTTACGAAAAGTGTATGACTCTGAGTTTTATTTTATTTTGAATTCAATATCTGCTACAATAATATTGTATATTTCCTAGCGGCATGTATCCCGACTGAAAACTTGCCGCCAGAACACCGCCACGTTTACGGCGGTAGTGGTGTGAAGATAACAGTGCTGTGATGAGCATTAAAGATATGACCTTAGTGTTGTTTCACATCGATTGATTTCTTGAGTTTTTCTTTAAAGCTTTCAATCTCTTCATAATATATGTCAAGCCAAAATGATTGAAATAGAACAAACAAGACAGATAGAAAAAAAAGCTCATGTTTCTGTTTTATAAAAAAAAACTACCTGTAATGTCTATTTTAGACTATCGCACGTTATGGATAACAAAGAACAATACATCTCAAACAGCATATGAGTTTCCTCTTGCAGAAGTTGATGGTCATGATAGGTTAAGTTTATATTGGTTTCATCTCTGTGAATCTGATCGTGGGAACGTCATTCGTGTTCGATGTTTACGTAATAATGTAACTGGTCATATTCTTAAATCAAAAGATTTCAACATTGATCGTACCTTATCTAAAATGAAATGTAAAACTCGTAAACAACATTCTTATGAAAACGACCACTATTGTATATTAAGCAGCGAAGCACAATTTAGTCGTTTTTCACGTTTGTATCCATATATCGTACAGTGTATTATTTTAAAAACTGAAAGTAAAAATAAGCACGTTCGTATACTTGTTGAGAAAGAAGACAAAGTTATTTTATCGTATGAAAAATGTGTTTTTGTACCCTATGATAGTACAGTAGGTCATCACAATCTTGTATATTTATACAATAAAATTCATGAAGAAGAAGAAGAAAGTAATCTTAAATACGATAATATTATAGCGGAAGCTATCTTGCGCAATTTTATTGACGAACAACTTAAGTGTAAGAAAAAAATATGACTTGCCAAAAATAAAGTATTTATTCTGTTTTCTTTACATATAGATGAAAGCTATGTTTCTTTCGAAGATACAAGTATCATTTTTCAGCCTACTATACAATCAAATCGATATAGTAAGTAAAATATTTTCTGTTTGATATTTTTATTTTTTGTGAATTCTGTTAGCAGATGAAATTTGGTTTTATGTATACTTCTGCGTTAACGATGCAAATATAGAAGAAGAATTAGGTGTAAAAAATTTCTCAGTGGATTTCTTTTTTTTAAATTTTTATATAAGTTATATATTAAGTAGAATTGCGTAAGAGTTCATTGGCAAGTGACACTTCTCAAAAAATTACCATCATCAACATCAAATGCAATTACAGCTTTGTTAAACGTTTTTATACATTTCAATATTACGAATAAACAATATTATATTTTCTTAAGTAAATCGAATTCTCATTAAATTGATTTAGTTCATGATTAATAAAATCTTTGGTATTACTCTTAAATAACGTAAAGATAAAGCAGTTAGAAAGACGTCAGTCAAAACTCGTACAAGTCATAAGTTCGAACAAAAGAGTCAAATACACATTTTCTTGACAACAAAATGTAAAATATTGCGCAGCACGAAATCGTTTTGAATTACGAAATTGACACTTATGCGGTGATTTACGTATAGTAGAATCAATTGCATTTTCATTGTTTAAACTTTAACCAAAGCTCGTGTTTTTTCTAACTATTCTTTTTTTTGTCATTCATTATTTTTTGTGAATTTCTTGTAAGAAATCGTTTTCTTTTATGCATAAGATGTGTGTTTCGCATATTTATTTGGTAGATAGTCGAAATGAACGATTTAATGAGCGAATTCTATCAGACACTATAAAGAAACTTATCGGATTGGACAGAATTCAGAACTGTCAATGATTTTTTTTTAATGTCTGAAAGTGTCAAAATCGAGTAAATAGAATTGTGCAGATTTCTGACAGGATTCATTCATATTTTATTTCTTCTTTATATGCACTTTACACACACATTGTTGTTTAATAGAAAATAACAATACTAGTTAAACATTACAAAAACAAAACTTCTTTTCTATAAGAAAAATATTTTTTGATGAAATGTCCTTGTGGATGATTACTTAATGTTTTTACACTTGTTTATAAATTCGTAGGATTAAAATATATCATATGGTTATTTATTAATATTATTATTTTATTCTTCGTTAATCATTTACTTGAAAGATATGAAATCAGTATTATTATTTTAGCCCTTGAAACGAAAAAGAGATAAAACTTCTAGTTTTATCGTTTTTCGCATGAAATAATTTTAGTAAAACACATCTCCATGAAAAATCGTCTTTTTAGGAATACTACCTGTTAAACTTCCATTTAATTTCAATTTTATTGTGTTTCTAATCAATACCTTCTTAAAACGAACTTGGGAAGGTACACTTGAAACAACACGAAAATTCGTTCAAAGACCTGTTCCTCATGATGGTCACTGCCTTTTTTCATCTCTTCGCAACGCACTGAGTATTGCCGATAAAATTACCATGAAAGATTTACGTAAACAAGCTGCCGATTATAATCGTCAATCGGGTAAAATTAATGAACAATGTTTATTTTACGAAACCAAGAAAAATCTTGAACAATATTGTGATGAGATTGAAAATACCGATGTATGGGGTGGTGAACCAGAAATTCTAGCTATAGCTGAATTATATGAGACAAGTGTTCGTGTTATAAGGATTGATCCTCAACAATCATGTGTATCTATTTCTGAATTTCCTTCAAATCAAACATCATTTAAAAAATGCTGTTATATTATTCTTAATAATAATCATTATGAATCATTACATCTACGTATTGGAAATAATTCAAATGACGAACATTCAATTTTTGATTCCAATGATGAGGAAGTAAAGAAACTTATATATGACTTTATTTCAAAAGAGTATCCTAGTAAGAAAACTATGAATTCGAAATAAAGAATGAAGCACCGATGGTTTATTTAATTATAGATTATAAAGTGATATCATCCAACAATAAGACAGATAGTAATGAACATTTAGTGCAACCTGTCAGAAATTGTAAACAAATTACATAAATGTAATCATATTTTTTAACTTTTAAATATTTTTTATAGCTATTGATCAACTTATTGCTGCAGCTAATTTAATCGACATGATTTCTACCAGTTTATCAAATAAACGAAAGTTTCAAGGTAAAAAAGACTCAATTTTATTGTTTTGATGTTTTTTTTATTTAAATATGAAACAGAACATGACAAGCATACATCAATGGAAGTAACTACAAAGAAATTAGCATCATCCATTGTGAATACAAATGAAGGTTTGTTACACTAATCGTTTCTTTTACTAATATTACAATAATAATTTGTTATGAAAATAATATTTGAAATTGTATCTCTAAAATAAAGGATATACGGATTTAAAAGATACATTGAGGCTTTGACGGAGATTATTATAAAAAAAATGATTCATCAATAGAACTATTCAAAATTCAGTGAATCAAAATAAAAATTTAGCCTAGGCTGGCTGAATAACATTGCCATCTGACTCTTGAGTCAGATTCTAGAGCTTTGATACTCTGTCTGAGCACTATTCTATGTGTCCTCAATGATAGAGCTGATGATCTTCGCATCACACCGCTGATTCATTACTTCATGCAAATTATTTATTAATCGACTCGATTCTTTATCGAATTTAATATTCTGTGATTACTTCTAACAATCTGAAAGCGATTGGAAACTGAGACTTAGCGTCTAGTTTCTATAATCATACAAATTTAATAAAAATAAAGCACTAATAAAATAAATGTGGAAACCTCGGATTTAAATCCGAGAGTTATGTGTACTTCAAAAAGTAAATGAGACAGATGAGTTATTCTAGAATGTGGGGACATAAAAACTATCCTGGCAAACCTTTTCTATAAACACTTGATTTTTATTGGTTACTGATCAACCAATGGGATTTCGAGGCGAATGGAGCACAGATTCGAGTTCTCCAGCCCAGAAAACCTCCAACTATCATCTCTGTGATCGTAAGATAGAGCTCGAATTGTGGATCAATTAGAGCATGGACAAGAACAGAACCGAATTTCGTTTAATTATCTTTGTGATAGGTGAGTCAGCCTTCTTATGTCTTTATGTTCTATAAACCATTTTGTAGCTCTTGAAATTCTCTATCGAATGGTATATAATAGTTGGAGTTTTAGTTGACTATGATATGAAAAGTCTTTTACGAAAGCGGCGATGGGTCGATTTTCCCATAGGAAGCCATAGGAAAAAATGGGTATTTTTGCAATAACTCAGGAACGGCTCGGCCGATCCTTCTCATCTTCGAACTCGACCGAGATATTGTTAAGACTAAACTATGTAGAAAATTTCATCGCGATCGGACTCTCCTTTCAAAAGTTATCGTGTAAACGGACGGACGGACGGACGGACGGACGGCCGGACGGCCGGACACACTGACCGATTCTAGAAGTGTACTCACTTTTTGAGTACACAAAAATAAAATAAAAATTTAAAAAGCTACTAAATACTTTTGTTTGAATTGTATATTCATCAAATATTACAATCTTGACTAAGACAAATTTATTAATCACACATTTAAATTTTTAATATTTGAATATGTAAAAATGATTGAACTAAATTACTCTTCAATTTATTCTATTTCTGTTTTTTTAGTCGGTGTTCCAACATTAACATATTCTTGTTCAATTCCGACAAGTAAAAGACTATATGTGTTAGGTTACTGGATCATTATTTATTTTTTAAAATATTTATCAAAATATATCATATCTTCTTAGAGAAGAACAATAATTCATCGGGCAATATTAAAGAGCATCCTCAGTCAGATGTTTCTCAAATAAAATTTAAAATTGAACTTGCAAAACGATTTCGTGCACGTTATTTAACTGATTATGAACCAAAGAATGCATATAAACGTGATGGTAAAACGAAATCTCAACGAAGATGTCCGACTTATTTTGCTGATCGACACGATGAGAACGATAATAACAAAAGGCATTCTCTCACATTATTGGTTTGTTATTCAAATAAAAACAAAACTTATTTATTAGAATATCTATTTTAGATACCGAAAATGCTTGTATTCGGTAAAGATCCAATTGATCTTCATCGTGTCAAAGTAGAAATTTGCATTGTGACACGAACTATCAATAGATGTATTTATATTCATCCATATTATAAATTTTACAAACCTGAAAAAGGTCGAGAATACTCTGTGTCTAATCCAATATTTATACATCTTGGATATGATACAGATTATGAACATCTGACCAATATCAAGGGAAATCTGACAGAAATCAATGGAATACTGAATATGAAGTATATTTTAAAAATATTTTAGATTTCGTTTTCTTTAATACTGAATCTCAGGCTCCATCTAGCTGTCATACAGATTCTAAATAACGAACTAGAAAAAGCAATAGTACAACCTTTTCAATCAATAGATTCGAGTATATGAAAAAACTTGTGAACTTATTTTATTATATAAGATATGTTGTTTTATTAGAAAGAATAGCTGATACAACAATAGACAATAAACTTGATGTATTGAAAGAGAAGTCTCAGCTAAATGATCTTCGTTTGGCCGTAACGTTATGGATAAAAAATGTTGGCGAAGAGGAATACAGTCGACGTGCTGATCTTCAGTATATTAGCGATATCTCCACCAACATAGCAAAGGTAAAGTTTTACTGAAAATCTATGATAAATATATACAAGCAATTTTTCTTTTTTGATTTTCGTTTTTTAGTTCAAGTCAAAAACATAGCCAATACCGATGCATTGATTCTTTCAAAAGCAACATGACTATGATTTTAGTTTGATTTTTTCATTTTTTTCGTAATACTAAATAAACAAGATCTAATGATATTCTTTTTCTTTTGAAAATATTCATATAGATATTATACATTATTTCAGCAGATCGGATAAAAAGAATTTGTCTTGAACACAAAGTTTAATTGTGAATATATATTTGACGATTATTGGCGAAGTTCAATATCGACTGATATATTCTTCGGTAACACCAAACATATTATAATAAAGAATTTCTCAAATGATTTCTAAAAACATCTAGTTCTTCAACAGAAAATATAAATTGATTTTTAAAGATATAATTATTTCAGTACATGGATTATGTATCACATTGTCACAAAGAAGATAATCGAAAAGTAGTTGTGTTGAAAGGAATTTGAGGAATATAGAGATCATCAGTATGAAGATTGCTGTATTTCTCTCTATGATCTATATCAGTCTTTTGACTTTGGTCGTCATTCTTTTCGTTTGCTTTTTGAATGTCTGCAATCTCTCAGAGGATTGATAATGATGTATTCAAATTAGAAACCTTATGTTGAAATAATTCTTAAGAATTTGAACTCTCTGACCATTACTATTTACCGTTGATCTACTTTTTTGAATTGAAATCAATTCAGCGGACTGTTAGAAAAGCATTTTAGTTGGAGAGAGAGAAAGATTTTACGCAGACGATAACATAATTAAATCTATAGAACACACATGAAAAAGCAAAATCTTTATTACAGCAAAGTATAATTTATGAGCACTTAAGTCATCAAACAAAAAGTATAAACAATAAACTGCCCATGCCATCATGTTCAACTTTAGTGTGTCCAACCTAAATCTTTTTCATTATTCAATTATATGTTTGATTTTTAAATTGAACATCAATAATTCAATAAATGCTGAGAGAATAAACTGAACTATGATGATCATCAATCAAAGATTTGTAAATAAAATCTAGGAAAAATAATAATTCAATTAGAAGGAAGCTGAACTTAAAGAAGGATAATATAAACTATGTCTTTATTAATTTCTTTCTTAATTGGTTGAAGCTAAAATAAAAAACGATTCTGAACAAAACCAAAGATCATTGTGTTACTGAATAAAAACAAAAGACGTTAACATACATCGAACGATTGCTTATATAAATCAAGCTGAACACACACTTTTCTTACTTTTTTTATTTGAACTATTCTTATAAAATTTAATTCTGACTAATGAAAGACTAACAATTATTATGAGGGATGTATTCTACAAAAAAAAATGATGAATATCAAAAGCGGCATATTCCGATGACAATTCTGGTTCAAATTTGTCTACATCAGTAGAACAAGATCAAAATTATTCGTATATATTAGAACGATTACTGTCTTAAATGATGAAAATTATTACATGCAATTTTTTTATGATATTAATTTTCTTTTTGTAATAATTTTAGATAGATTTAATAAACTTGAATAAATTGAAAAAAGAAAACGTATTAGATAAAACAAATGTAAGCTTTTATTTTATCTCTAAGTTTTTAATTTTCATATGGCAAAGATAGTGGAAGAAGCTATAGAAAGACTATCAAAATTATATATATTTTAGAAACATATAACATTAATTTCAGTAATTAACATTAAAACGAAGCAAGATTTTCTTTTTTTGAGATGACAATTATTATTTGTATGACTTGAATACGTTTGTGAATATTATAAAGAGTGCAGTTTTTTATTTTTACACAGTTAAAACTTTAATATTCAAGATATGATCAACGTAAAAAGCATGAATTCATCAAATTATAAATTGGAAAAATAATCAATAGCAGTGTTTATAAGTGGTTTGAGATATAGAATAGTGCCACAAAATCCACTGTTGCAGTAATAATACATATTTACAAAAGCTTCATTTGCCATTTGATTCAATACTAATAATAATAACAACGCTAGGTTAGTAAAAAAAATCAAACACGAAATTGAAAACTGATGAGCGATTATCAACGATGCAAATAAAGATAGTGTCATAAAAGAAAGAATTCTCTTTGAAATGCATAAATCAATAAGACATTATTATTCTCGTAACCAGTTATCTTCGACGACAAGTATAATCTACGAAAGATTTTTCATTTTACGTTTTTTGTATTAACTTAATTAGGCTAAAGAACATATTTTAGTTCCACAGTTCTGCTCCAAAGAGGCTACGCCAACAAGCTTCTTCTTTCTGTTTTGATAGTGACTTCAATTCGTTTTGTTCATTATGTATTTATATTGATTATTCGAATAACTATGCTAATCTGCACTATTAAATCGATATTTTTCTCACTACGATTGTTACTTGTCAGCTGAGCCAATCGGGTCTAAAGTTTTCGAATTTGAATCCGGTGGAACCGTATTTTGACACTTTAAATGACACTTTCTAATCGAAATCGGATAGCCACCACAAAAATACGAGATACATGTTTTCGGCTTTTTGAATTCGTTGAGCAGTGCATCTGAGAAATGTGAACGGTAGAGTCCATCGATTCCAAAGTTTCCGGACTCGAATTCGAACCTGTTTAACAGAAAGTTTTCAGACCCATAACTGAATGGGCCCAATACCATTCCAATGAGCTATATCTTTCTGTGTAAGTTCAAATTTTAATTCTTTCTTTTTGATGTTGATAGACATTTGACAAGTTCCCATATGATATACTAAGAATGACAAAAGTATTGCGAATCATATTTTTCATGTAAAATATAGAGTTTATGATTAAAACAATATTATGAAGATGGATATCAATAGTGCAAGAATAGCATTTATATTATTATTAGAAGTTTAAAACGAATATACAAAGTGTTGATATATCACTTGTTTTTTTTTCAATATATTTTTGAATAATATTTATGTGTAAATCATCACATGCTTTATTGGCACATCATCTAGTTAAGAATATAACGTGGAAGTATGTGAATGGTCAAGCTATAGTCCTGATCATAACACTGTTGAGCTAGTACAGAACATTATCAAAGAGAAAATTAAAACAAAGGATCTGGAAACAAAAAAAGATGGATTACAGAATACGGCGGATGAAGCATACAATTACTTATAAACAAGTGTTATTCAACAAACGTATTTTAAAAAAATATACGCAGTTTCAACACTTTATATCTTCATTTCAAAGTTTTAATTATAATGGAAGAGCCTATTCTTGAACTGTTCGTATCTATCTTCAAAGAATTGTTTTATCCATAAATTATATCTTTTATATCAAAAATATGATTCGCAATACTTTTGTTGGTGATAGATAGATTTAGTCTTGAAATACTTACGAATTTGTGTGACAATGACTATATCTTTAGAACAATTAAAAATACGTTTCAATTTTACACTTCGTCTTATATTCATCATGTCTAATAAAATGAATTGATAAAATAGATCAATTAATAACAATTCTTTTAATCCTCGAGATTCAGGAAATCAAAATAACTTCTATTAAGAATAAAAATAAATGGACAATTGTATAACATATAAAATTAAAATAGAGAAAACAGCTAAAATTGTAATTGTGTTATTTCGGTATCTATTGCACAGGTACCATCATCAGACAGATAACCATCAACATAAACTATACATTTATTTATATCAGATCTATACTAATTAATATAATATATGTAAGAGAATATAGCTGCACATTTAAAATATATATATATAAATTAACTCACTGATCATAAAAAGAAAAGAACAATAAATTAACTTAAATAAGACATCCATTTTATTGCTGTATAAGTATTATATTGAGAATAAAAATAAATGGACGTTTTTATTCAAGTTAATTTATTGTTCTTTTCTTTTTATGATCAATGAGTTAATTTATATACATTTTTTTTTAATGTGCTGATACATTCTCTTACATATATTATATTAGTTCGTATAGATCTGATATAAAAAAATGTATAGTTCATGTTGGTGGTTATCTGTCTGATAATGGTATCTGTGTAATAAATACCGAAATATCACAATTACAATTTTAGCTGTTTTCTCTATTTTAATTTTATAACTTCTATTAAAACTTGTGAATCTATTTATTGTTTTATTTTATAGATAAATAGTGAAATGGTTATTTGTAGTTGTGCTGAATCTAAATATTTTTATCATTTGAATCATCTTCTCTTTTGCAATAACTTTCTGGATTAAAGGATCGCGTGAAAAAAAGCTTCAATCGTCATCATAAAGTCAAAACTATTAATGAGCTTTCAGGAAACAATCTACGGATATATTAACTTATAACTTTGATTATAGTGAATTTTTCTTTTAATTCCAGCCCAACTGCAAAATAAATAATCCACATGAAGATCAGTTTCTGTATTTTCGTTACTTTTAGATTAGGATATTATTCTAGATTAATATTTACGTTTAGTTAATGATGTTAAATTATCATCATTTTATGTATTTATTATTATAAAGAAGAAATTCGTCGATTACCATTAGTTAATAGTTTTATTTTTTGCTTGAAAATGACTGATTAAGATCGAAAGAATTCGTATGTATTTTTTTTTATTATAAAGTATATAAAATGAAATAAATAAAAAGAAAACAAAATATTATCTCGTGTCAATGGATATTTGACTTTATATCAAGATACAGATATTCATTTTGATGTTGAGCACCTAGCTTGCTTTCTACAAACAACAAAAAAAAACTCATTTACTCATTCATCAGACAACTCATACTTCACAAAATACTCTGAGAGAAAACTCAGCTATGTTTGAAAAATTGTATCACCATGTAATGTCGCAACAGTCCAAAAAGAAATTTAATTTCTTAATATGATCAGCAAACAAAAACCAAAATTTGTCATTACTCTATATGAATATCATGAAAAGAAATCATCGAAATATTTTTCAATATAAAAAAAAAAAAATATTGCCAAGATGATTTTTTATCATTATGTTAATAAGGAGCAACTGCAAATTTTGGTTTTGGTTTGTTGATCATTATAAAAAAAACAATTAAATAAAAGTTTGTAAAACTTTTTTTTTTTCCTTCAAAAAAAAAAAAAAGAACATGATTTTTTTCTCTCTATGTATATATATGTATGCTGATTTTTTATTTTAAACATATAGCTCTTATCGATTATCATGGATAATACATTCGCAAAAGCTGATGAAGTTCAATTGAAAGAGACTCTTGATGATGTCTCATGTTCATCTTCGTCCACATTATCAGAATTCCATCGAAATTTAGATGCATCCGAAGCAAAATCGCCTTTTGGTCAAGGTAAACTAGTTATTAAATGGTATTCTTTGGTTGGATTAATCTTCTGTTCTTATTGATTTTAGATGGATTTAATGACCTGTTTAATGATTCGGATGAAATCAAAGAAAAAAACTCATCAGGTAAAATAAATATAACGTTTGTTGCCTTTCTAAGTTTTTTGTTTTCATATGATAAAGACGATGAAATGGAAAATAGAAAATTTATCGAAATAAAATATTTAACATGTCTATAAGATTGATATCAGTGATTGAAATTAAAATAAAACGACATTCTTCTCTTCTCTTCCAAATGAGAATAATTATATCATATTGATTTATTTCTATATTAGTTAAATTCAATTTTTATATTTTATATGAACTGATGACTGAATTTTTCTTTGATCACGAGCGTTTCATGAAATTCGATATCTGCTATAATGATATTGTATATTCACTAGACATATCCATCGCAACTGAAAACTTGTTGTTCAGATATCATCGTCATCATGGTGGCAACGATATGATAGGCATCAATGATATTTCTCAAAGTTTTACTTGAATATTTTCTTATGTCAATTAGTTCCTTGAAAAAAACCTTTTTTCATGCATTTTTCAATCTCTTCGAAATAGAAATTGAGCAAAATGATTGAAATAGAAAAACCATGACAGTTAAAATAGAAAGCTCATGTTTATGTTTTATAAAAAGAAATTCTCTTTAATGTCTATTTTAGAGTATCAAAACTTATTGACACCAGAGCAAAATACAACTGAAACATCAATCGAGCTTCGTCTTGCAGAAGTTGATAGTGATGATGGATTGAGTTTTTTTTTGTCTCTTCTCTGTGGGTTTGACCGTGAGGATGTCGTTCCTGCTCGAACTTTACGTAACAACGTGGCTAATCATATTCTTGAATCACGGTATATCAAGATTGATAATATCTTATGTGAAATAAACCGTGAAACTCTTGAAACATATTCTGATAAAGTCAAACAAGGTACTATATTAGGTGTTCCAACAGTACTTCATGCTTTGGCATCTTTATATCCAAAGTACTTATTTTGTACCATTTCAAAAACTAGTCGTACAGATGGACGCATCTCTATAAATGTTGCTACATATGTCAAAGATATTTCATCGTATAAAAAATGTGTTTTTATATTCTACGATGGTATGATTGATCATTATAACGCTGTATTTTTATATAACAAAACGAATGAAGAAGAAGAAAAAAGCAATTTTAAATATGATAATAATACAATGAAAATTCTTCTTACAAAATTTATTAAAGAAAAGCTTAAATGTACGAAAAACAATTAGCTTGCCAAAAATAAAAAAAATTTCTGTTTTCTTTACATATAGATGACAACTATGTTAATTCCGAAGATACTCAGGTAAATGTTGAAGCTGATATAACAGTAAACGGATTCAGTAAGTAAAATAATTTGTGTTCGATATTTTTATCTTTTGTGAATTTCAGTGGAACATGATTATATATATGATTCAATTGCTCATCGTGATGTTGCTGATACAGAAAAATCACTAGGTACAGAAAAATCTTTTCAGTTGATTTCATTTGTTAATTCTTATGCAATTTATATATTAAGTAGGGAAGTACGCAAATTCGTGGATGAGTAATGCTACAAGAACACTTCCATCATCAATATCGAATATAAATCCAGGTTTGTTCAACACTGTCATACATTTCAATACTTCTCATAAACGCATTGTTTTCCTAGCTAAATCGAATTCTTCTTAACTTGATTTAACTCTTAATTCATAAGACTGTTTCCTGCTACTCGTAAAGGGCGTACAGATAAAGCAGGAAAAAATCTCTCGACCAACCTTCGGACAAGTTCGAACAACAGAGTAAAAATATATGCTTAAGCGACACAAAAAGTAGTAGATTGTGTAGAACAGCATCGTCCTCAACTATGAGGTTGACTGTAATGCAGAAAATAGGCATAGAAGAACCAATCACCTTCTTATTATCTAATCTTCAACCGAATTTAGTGTTTTTTAAGCTTTTCTTTGGTTTGCCATACATTTTTATTTTTGACCTTCCTACAGCAAATCTTATTCTTTCGATATCATGTTCATTATCATACGGGAGATTTTTAAATAAAAAATATAAATTTTGAAATGAATTGTATTGTTGCTTTTTATTCATAAAATTTGTATTTTGGATATTTATCTGATAGACTATCGGAACAAAGAATCTGAGAAACGAATTTCATCAGATCAGTGGCGTAGCCAGAAATTTTCGAGTCATGGGTAATTCATCAGCCGAACTATTTTGAGTTACGGGCAGCTCAGGGCAACCGTTATGATTTCAAAAATAACTATGGGCAATAATTGTTCAAGCACTGCAGAGCTCAATAAATCCATGGGTAATAACTTTTGGACCTATGGGCAATTGCCCAATGGCCCTACCCCTGGCTACGCCACTGCATCAGATATTATAGAGAAATTTACAGAATCGAGCATAATTCGAGACTATCAGCAATTATCTCTATAATGAATTTCAACAGTATGAAAGAATCAAAATCGAGTAAAAAGAATTGTGTAGAATACAGACAGGATGCATTCGTATTTTATTTCCTCTTTTTATAAAGTTTATAGTAGCCATTGTTTGACTAATAATACTAGTATTAGTTGAACAGAAAAAACTTCCTGTCTAAGAAAAATACTTTTCAGGAGACGTCTTTGTAGATGATCACTTACTTTTTTATAGCAGTAAATATATACATAGGATTAAAATATACCATATAAGGGTTAATTAATTTGATCCTTTTATTCTTCGTTAGATACTCAACTGAAAGATATCAAATGAATATTATCATTTAAGCACTTAAAACAAACAAGAGATAATAGTCTTACGAGGGAACATTCCCAGCTGTCACATCGCTTTTGAGTCGAGCGTATGGACATTATGTAGGCCCTAATTGTGCCGATATTGATGACACGGCTCGATGATTCTCCTTTCTTCTCTGTCTGTTCTCTTTCCGTTGTTCTAATATATCACTCTCCTGTCTGTGCTGATATTGATGACACGGTTCGATGATTCTCCTTTCTTCTCTGTCTGTTCTCTTGCCGTTGTTCTAATATATCTCTCTCCTGTCTCTCTTCTATCTCTCTCCTATAAATATGCGTATTATGTATGAAGTTGTTACACTCTGGATATGTAAAATAGCTGAATAAACATCATTGCCGAGAATGGCGAAAAGCTATTCAATCCAGTTTGTCGTTACACTAATGACCTATGAATGTCCTGAAAAATGTTCGTGCTGCTAGCTTCTTATTGCTGAGATATAGCATTTTTACTGTGTGTTTAAGGAAAAAGCCGTGATCCCCCTCAGAAACATCAGGAAAAGTGACTTTTGAGTTTCCACCTGAAACTTTGCATGTAGACAAGTCTCAATGAGAATCGTTTATTGTGAAGGTTTCAGATTTTTTTGGTTGCTCCTAGTCTGAGATAAGAACATCGGATCTGCTGGTGTATATGAACAATTTTACGATAGCTATATCTTAGGATATGAACAGCGAAAAGAGCTGAAACTTTCACAATAAAGTATTCTCATTGAGGCCTATATCTATGCAAAGTTTCAAGACGAAATTCGAAATTCAGTTTTCCGATGTTCCTGAGGGGTACCACGGCTTTTTTTTTCTTAAACATACAGTAAAAACGCTGTATCTCGGCAATAATAAGCTAGCAGCACGAACTTTTTCAGAGAATTCATAGATCGTGAGGGTCTACATAATGCGCATACGTTCAGCTTAAAAGCGATGTGACAGTTGAGAATGCTCCCTCGTTAGTTTTGTTGTGTATCACATGAAATGATATCAACAGAACAAAGCTCTAACAATGATCACTCTTTCAGGAAAAATATGCAACAAGTTTCAATTTAATTTTAATTGTGTTTCTATAATAGACAATCTCATATCAATACAAGCGTCGACAGGTGCACGTGAAATAATACAAAAATTTGTTCGAAAAGATGCTTTTGGTGGCGGTGATTGCCTTTTTTCATCTCTTTGCAACGTATTGGGTATTGCCGATAAAATTACCATTAAAGATTTACGTAAAAAAGCTGCTGATTTTAATCGTCAACCGGGTAAAATTGATAAAGATTGGTTATTGAATACAACCGGGAAAACTGTTGAACAATATTGTGATGAGATGGAAAACACCACTGCATGGGGTGGCGAACCAGAAATTCGAGCTATAGCTGAATTGTATAAAATAATTATTCGGGTTGTAAATGTTAATTCTGAAAAATTCTGTGTATCAGCTTCCGAATTTCCTCCAAATCAAACATCATTCGACCGATGTTGTTATATTATTCTTAATAATAATCATTATGAGTCATTACATCTACGTACTGACAATAATTCAAATGACGAACGTTCAATTTTTGATTCCAATGATGAGGAAATAAAGAAACTTATACGTGACTTTATTGCAAAAGAGTATCGTACTAAAAAAAATATGAATTTGAAAGAAAGAAGAAAGCAATTATTCCTTATTTAATTACAGATTATGAATTGATACCTTGCAATAATAAGACAGATATTGACAAACTTGTAATGCAGCTTCATGAAAAATGAAAGCCAACGACATGAGTGTAATCTTGTTCTTAGTTTTTATCTATTTGTTATAGCTTCCGAACAGTTTGTTGAACCAACCAACTTAATAACCATGACTGGTACCAAAAGTTTGTCAAAGAAACGAAAACGAGGAGGTAAGGCAGAGTTTATTTTTTTATTTGGATGCTTTTTTTATTGAAATATAATTTAGAAAATGACGACGATTTATCTATGGGCGAAACTACAGATATATTGGCTTCATCAATTTTGAAGAAAAATAATGGTTTGTTATACTGTTCCTTTATTTTAGTAGCATTTCGATAATTATTCTTTATGAAAATAGTATTTGAGATAGTATTGCTACATTATAAAATAATTAGTCTTGAAAATACACGAATTTTTTTGACGTATATTTAGGCTTTGAGGAAGGTTATTACAAAAAAACATTCATCGATAGAAATATTTAACATAAAGTGAGTCATATCATTCATGCAACTACAAACTTTAAAAGTATGTAGAGAAATATTTTTGATTGTATTTTCATTGAGTGCTATAATCTTGACTAAAACAATTCCTAGTAATCGTACACTTAAGGCTTTTATATTCGGGCATTTTTAAACGATTAAGTTAAATTTCTCCTAAATTTGTTCAATTGTTCTTTCTATAGTCAATAGTCAATCATTAACACATTCCCGTCATATTCCTTCAAGTGATATTATATACGAATTAGGTAAGTTGACCATTATTTATTTTCAAAATATTTAACAACATATATAATATCTTCTTAGATCAGAACAATAGTTCACCGGACAGCATTGAACAGTTTCTTCAAACAGATTTTTCTCGTTATTTGGGTTGTAAGTCTAACTGTGGAAAATATCTTTTTATCAAATGTTATGAACAATTTTAGGTTTTTCTGAACAACAAATGGAACTACAACAAATAGAAGATTCTTCTACTGCAAATATTTCACCAGGAGATACAACGATTTCTTATAAACTACAAAATCAACAAAAAATAAGACTTGAAATTGAACCTGTAAAAAAATTTAAATTTCGTTATGAAAGTGATATTGTACCACAGAAAGAATATAATCATAATGGTGCAAGAGCCAAACGAGGACGTCCAACTTATTTTGCTAATCGGAACGATGAGAACAAAAAGAACGCAAGGCATAGTCTCACATTATTGGTTTGTTACTTAATTTTAAAAAAGAATTTGTAACAATATCTATTGTAGGTTCCAACGACGCTTGTATTCGGTAAAAATCCTGTTGCTCTCGATCGTATTAAAGTAGAAATTTGCATAGTAACAGATACTATCAATAAATGTATATATATTAATCCATATTATAAATTTTACAAACCTGAAAACAATGAAAAATACCCTTTATCTAATCTAATATTTACATATCTTAAATACGATGAGTATCGTAAAACGTGGACGGACACCGATGGAAATCTGATAGAAATCAAAGAAGGAATAATACACATGAAGTATGTTTTAAAAAGATTTTATATTTCTTTTTCTATAATACTGAATTTTAGGCTCTATCTGGCTGTCATAAAGGTTAAAGACGACAAACTAGTAAGTCTAGGAAAGCCAATACAACCTTTCGAATCATTAGAATCAAGTATGTGAAGAAAATTTTTAACTCATGTTATTCTTCAAATATGCTGTTTTATTAGAGGGAATACCTGATGCAACAATATACAAAAAACTCGATATAATGATAGATAAGTTTCATTTACAGGATCTTCGTTTTGCTTTCACGCTGTGGATAAAAGAAGATGGCGAAGAAGAATACAGACGACGTGTTGATCTTCAGTATATTAGCAAAAAATCAACTGGACAAAAGAGAGAAAAGGTCTGCTGACAGTCAACGACAAATATATATAATCAGTTTCTTTTGTTTTCTCGTTTTAGACCAAAGTCAAACAAAAAGACACACCAGAACAATAATTCTTTTCAAAGCAATTAAATATGCTTTTAGTTTGTTTTATTTCTAGTTTCTCCTAGTGATCAATGAACAAAATATAATGATATTATTTTTTTCCGAAAATATTCGAATAAATATTATACATTATTTCAGCTAATTGGTTGAAAAAGATTTTTCTTCAAGACAACAATTAAATCTTAATGTACTTGAGACAGTTATTGATAAAGTACAATGTCGATTCATATATTCTTTTATAATACGAAGTATACTGGGGAAAGAATTTCGACAAAGGGTTTCTAATAGCCCCATTTGTTCAACAGAAAAATTAAAGTGAATTTTAAGAATGTAACTGTTCCGGGAAGTTAGTTATATACCTCATCTCCACAACGAATATTATCGAAAAGAAGCTTTGCTGAAATGAATTTGACCACTTAGAGATCGTCAGTATGAAGATCGGTGCGTTTCTTTCTGTGATCTATATCAGTGTTCTTGCTTTCTTAGCCATTCTTTTCATTCACTTTTTAGGTAAATACTTGATAAAGAGAGAGTACTCAAGTACGATTTGTCCACTATGAATTGCGACTTAGTGTTGTCTACTTGCTCACTTATTTAATTAATGATAACAAGATAAAGATGAGCGACTTCTATTATGGTGTTACAAATTAGCCAAGTGCTTTTTATACAAAGTACAATTAAGATGCTAGGTTTTTTCCAGTAAAGAACAAAACACGATACTTTTTCAAAATTGTGATTACCTTAGATAGTTTGATTTTTCTAGAGACACATAATGTTCAGAACATTGAAAATATCGTTTGAAGTACTATAAAAACATGGAACTTTCATTTGATTGGTCCATAAGTTCTTTATGATAAAGTAATCCTACCTATTAACTTTGATTTCCTTGACCCATATCTATCGACCATCTGCAATTGGCTGTAATCGATAAATTAAATTTATTGTCTATCGATGTACGCTTCTCGTTTTCCTCGAAAACACTTTCTTTTTTTTATGAAGAAACTGCCGAGACATTGTGTCCAATCCAAACATATTTCATCAATAGGGGTATCGCTATTGCAAACGAAAAATAACATGGCTGCTTAGATACAATAATGAATCATTCAGGGTTGTCAAGTATTGCGAAATGGTATGTAAAAGATCGAAATTTTACAATTTACTCAATTATTTTCTAAATTTTTCGAATTATTTCCGAGTTGTTATATTTTACTAAATTCAAGCTTCTATGAGTTTGATTATCATTTCAAAATTAACTCTTTTCACTAATTACTGCATGATCGTTATGATATTTTAATTGCTATATAGTACGGAGTTTTCTTGAATCTAAAGTATTTACAAACGAAATTGAATAGACTATATTATTAAAACTAGTTGAAAGAAAACATTTTCATCGATGTAAACTAAATTTCAGGTATCAGAAGGAACTATTTAGAAAAATGATGAGCAAATACCAACAATGCAAACAAAAATGGAGTATCCATAAAAGAAAGAAACCAGTTCGAAATGCAGAAATCAATAAGACAGATTTTTTACTTTAATGATCGATTATTTTTGACAACAACTATAGTCTACGAAAGTTTTTTCACTTTACTTATCTTTTGTTAACTTAATTATGCTAAAGAACCAGTGCGAGCTTCGCCGTTCAGCTCCAAAGAGACTATACTAACAAGCTTTTGTTCTGTTTTGGTAATTACTTTTATTGATTTTGTTTAATATATATACATGTTGATTATTCGAGTATGTTAATTTATACTACTAAATCAATAGTTCTCATATCACAGTTGTTTAATAAAATCAATTGATAAAACAAAATCTTTTAATCATCAAGATCTAGAAAATCAAAATAACTTCTATGAAATCTTGCGAATCTATTTATTGTTTTATTTTATACATAAATAATAAAGTCAATGTTTGTAGTATCGATGAATTTAGTTCATGATATTACATTATGATCATTTTATGTATTTATTATTATAAAGAAGAAGTTTGTCGATTGTCATCAGTTAATTATTTCAATATTTGGTTGAAAATGATAGAATAATATCGAAAAATTTCCTTTTTTTTTACTATGAAATACATACAATGAAATAAAGGAAAAAATTGCACATTTTTGCTTGGTAATTAATATTTTTGATATTATCTCAAGATATAGCAATTTATTTACTCATTTGTCGAACAACTCATACTTCACAAAATTCTAGGAGAAAAGAAATTAGCTGTGTAGTAAAAAACAAGTGTGATTATGTGGTTTCTAAACAACTCTTCAAAGGCTTTTATTTCCCATTATGATGAGAAAGCAAAAAAAAATCGTCATAACTGTATATTTATATAAAGAAAAGAAATTGTTGCAATATTTTTAGACATACAACTCAGTGACTAACGTGATTCTCTGTAACTTCGACATTGAGTGAAAAAAAAGAGGTCATTGGTAGACATCATGAGATTGGTTATGAAAAAAGATCAATGAAGCGAACTTGGTTTTTGCTTTCCTTAAAAAAACATCGACTTGGTTTTTTACTGGGTATAAATACACATGTAGTTTCATTATAAACTTTCCATAATTGGCACATATAATGGACTATACATCCAAAGAAGCTGATGAATTTCCAAAGAGAAATGCTGCAGATGATATTTCACAGTTATATTTGTCTACTACAGTAGCAGAAAATCGATGTACAAAAAATATATCGAATGAATTATTGCCTGATTGTCAAGGTGAAAGCATTATTGAATACAATTCTTTTGTTAGATTAATTTTGTTTTGTTCAATAATTTTAGATCCATACGATCAAATACTGAATGATTTAGTTAATATAACAAAGGACGACAAGTTAGGTAAAATAAATATATAAATTGTTGTTGTCTGTCTAATTTTTTAATATTCACAATGGAAAGATGATGACATGAAACATAGCAAATTTATCAAAATTATAAATTTAAGAAATCTATAAGATTATTATTAGTAATTGAAACTAAAAATCAGTGATATTTTCTTCTTCTCAATGATAATAATTCCATCATGTTGACTTAATTCTACATTAGTTAAATTCAATTTTTATATTTTATAAGATTATATGAAAGTGTATTGCTCAACGTTTTTCTCTGCTCAGAAATTTTCCGTCGAATTCAATATCTGCTGCAGCAATATCGTATATTTACCAGATACAGTTTTTGCAGCTGAAAAATTACCGTCAGAACATCGTCACTTTCACGGCGGCAGCGATACGAAAACAGCAGCGCTATAATAGGTGTTTTAGATTTTCCCCGTTGAGTGTTGTTTCACATCGATTGATTTTTCAAAAATTATTTCTTTTAAGTTCTCAATTTCTTCATAATCGACACCAAGTAGATGATCGAAATAGAAAATCGATGTTTTAGTTTTATGAAAAAAAAACTATATGCAATGTATATTTTAGTGAAACAAAAGTCATGGATAACAAAAAACAATACATCTGAAATTCCATATGAGTTTCGTCTTGGTGAGGTCGATCATCATGAAGCGTTAAGTTTATATTTGTCTCTTCTGTGTGGACCTGACTGTGTAGACTTTATTTCTGCTCGACATTTACGTAACAATGTAGCTAGTTGTATTCTTCAATCAAAAGATATCAATATTGATTGTGCATTATCTCAAGTCAAATGTAAAACTCGTGAAGAATATTGTAATGATATCAAACAAGGTGCCATATTAAATGGTCTAGCAGAACTTAATGCTTTGGCATCTTTGTATCCAAAGTACTTATTTTGTGTTATTTCAAAAACTACAAATGACAATGGGGATATCTTTATAAATGTTGCTACATATGTCAAAGATATTTCATCGTATAAGAAATGTATTTTTATATTCCATGATGGTATAGTTGGTCATTATAGTCCTCTATATTTATATAACAAAATGATTGAAGAAGGAGAAAAAAGCAATTTTAAATATGATAATAATACAATGAAAATTCTGCTTTTCAAATTTATTAAAGAAAAAATTAAATGTAAGGAAAAAAACTTCATTTGCCAAAACCAAAAGAATTTTACTGCTTTCTTTACATAAAGATGAGGGCTATGTTGATTTTGAAGATATAAGTATAATCGATCAATCTGCTGTAACATCGAACGAATATAGTAATTAAAATATTTTGTGTTTAATATTTTTATTTTTTCTGGAATTTATTTGAAGATGATAATATATCTAATTCAATTGCTCACAATGATGTTATGGATACAGAACAAGTATTAGGTACCGAAAAAAAAATTCTCAAATTAATTTCTTTTTTTTTAAACTGTATGCAATTTATATATTAAATAGAAAATGACGAGAACCCGTCTATGAGTAATACTACCAAGATATGTCCATCATCATTATCGAATACAAATGCAGGTTTGTTAAGCACTATCATGCATTTCAATATTCCTTATAAACAAAATTTTATTATCCTAACGAAATTGAATACTTCCTAAATCGATTTGGTTTTTAGCCTGTCAAACTTCTTGGCTCTGAGACGCTAGAGAGAAACTTATTGGGCTAGACAGAATTCGGAACTGTCTATTATTTTCTTTGTGCCTGAAAGCATCGATATTGATTAACAACAATAATGTAGAATTTAGTAGTATTTTCACCTCTTTTTA